CCCGAAACCCGAACTTTGAAACCCTAAACCCTAAACCCCTAAATCCTAGGCCCGAAACCCGAAACCCGAACTTTGAAACCCTAAACCCTAAACCCCTAAACCCTAGGCCCTAAACCCGAAACCCGAGCTTTGAAATGAGTCCAACTCCAACTCCCCGGAGGGTCCTCGGCTCCGTGGGTATCGGGGAAGGGCCCCGACCACCCCACCACTCCTGACAGGCCTGGGGCGGTGGGTTTTTCTTTGTTTAGGGTTTAGTTTAGGGTTTAGGGTTTAGGGCTCAGGGGGTTTAGGGTTTAGGGGGTTTAGGGTTTAGTAGGGGGTTTAGGGTGTAGGGGGTTTTGGGTTTAGGTTTAGGGTTTAGGGTTTAGGGTTTAGGGTTCAGGGTTTAGGGTTTAGGTTTGTTATTAAGTTGGGATGGCACTCTCTTTGTCGATCCGCCGAAGTCAGCACCCAACTACAGGGTAAGGTGACCATTGGTCATATGCCCGTTTAGGGTGTAGGTTTAGGGCTTAGGTTTATCAGGGTTTATCAGGGTCGAGTGCAGCGACCTTCATCATTAGAATAGGGTTCTGGCGTTCTTTACACTATAACTCTATGAAGGACCCCCCAAAAAAGTAGTAAAGGTAATTATTTAGGCCCCTACATTAGGGTTTCGGGGTTTGGGGTTTAGGGTTTCGGTTCAAGGTTCAAGGATTTAGGCTGCTTTTCGTAAAGGTTTTAGATGGCTTCCTAAGACGTTCGACAAGGCTCCCTGTAGGTTTCTGTTGGACGCCTGTAAGGATTCGTCAACTATACGCATCCGTCCTTAAAGGAGTCTGTAAGAACTTCCTGCAAGGACTCTACACGGATTTTCCGGGGATTGGAGGTTCAGAGTTTTTTTCATTCTCGCCCGTTTTATGGAGGAAGGTGTAGAAATGCACCGCGCTGGCCTTCATAGTGCGGATGTGCTCATACTCGTCATCCCGGATGTTCTGAAACACCTCGAACTGCGCAACTCATGGAACGCACTGCGGCGCGTTGCGCAAAGCTGTCCCTAAACCCTCAACCCGGAGCCCTCAAACCCTAAACCCTGGACCGTAAACCTGTCCTAAATGATTGAGTCGAGCAGCTAGCAGCACTCTTTTTACTCTCACGGCAACCTTCAAACACCCTCAGTCAAGCAGCTGCAGGCTGAAGGAGGTGTTTGATGATAGGAACCTGATTAAGAAACCTTGGGCCTTTATTAAAACTTCTTCATTGACTGAAAAGCCTTCAAACACCCTGCAACACCCTGAAGCTCCTAAAAACCCTACAAAAAGCTCGCATCAACACCATGTATGTAAATCCTTGAGCCAGACAAGGGTGTAGGGCTCAGGGGTTTAGGGTTGAGGGCTTCTGGGTTTAGGATTTAGGATGAGGCCGAGTTGCATCAAGCAAGTGCTCGCAGGGCGGCCGTCGCAAGGCGGAGCCCTGTTGACAGTTTAGCGATTTGGGGTGTTTTAGGGGTTCCAGGGTTTAGCGTTCAGGGTTGTGCCGAGTAGAAACCAGCTCGCAGACTTCCTTCGCTACAGGTACTCGGTTATACATATATATATATATACACGCACGCTTGTGTTTACTGTATATATATATATATATATCTCTCTCTCTCTCTCTCTCGCTCTCTCTCTCTCTCTCTGTCTCTCTCTCTTTATACGTTGTACATACATGACAAAAAGAGATGCAGACAGCAGAAACATCAAACATGTATGTATCAATGGGCCTGGTTGGACGGCCTCGATGTTTGGAACAGGTCCTTAAGCAAGTCACGAGTAGGCTTGGAAGGGCGAGGGACAGAGAGAGAGAGAGAGAGAGAGAGAGAACCCTGGACCCTAGGGAAGGAGACAAAGACCATCATGGTGTCTCGTTCATGTGAAAACAGGGGCCGGACAAAGTTGTACATGTTGCCGGTGACATAGTACTCCACAGCTATCGGTGGAGGTGGGACCTTGGCAATACAACTCCCGGAAGCATTATGGGGCTTTGATTAATTTGAATACGGTCTGGGGCACTATGCTATAAGGCTATAGCTTTTATATTCGCCACTAGACTGTAAGATACTACAAGACTATAAAGAATAATGAAGAACCACATGTGCCAATTATTCCGACGCTTCTGTTCCCTGATGGCGCCAACTCAATAGGTAAGAGGCCGCGGTTGAATGCTGAGGATTGTGCTGGGACTCTGTGGAATGATATATCAGCCAATACAGTAAGTCCCTAGACCCCAAACCCTAAACCTAAACAATGTAGCCGAAACCCCAAACCCTAAACCCTGCACCCG